CTTAAAAACAGGGGGTTTTTACAATTATCTGTTCTGCAGTTGTTCCAAAGGAGTTTAAATATCATTAACATACCAAGGTTTTGCTGACGACACATTTTTTTCTTAATATGACCCTTGTGACCTTTATCAGTTGTCGATTTGCTTCCATTAGTAATATTATAAATAGCAGAATATTACAAAACATGTGTCTTCATTTTCCAGTCAAGAACAAGGCATGGCGGCGCGGCTTCTTCCTCGTCATGGCTTTAATATCAGCTCAGTCATTCAACGGCAACTTCACCATCCTGACGTACGCGTGGACCATCATGTCAGAGTCAGGAGTGACAGCCAACCCGGAGCTGACGTCACTGGTCGTGCCCATGCTGATGATTTGCGGCTCCACGGTGTCGATGATGTGTGTAGAGAGGTTTGGGAGAAAGGTAGGCATTCTTTTTTTTATCATCATCAGATGATTTAGACTTAACTGCAGGATAACATTAACAACCCGATCCTAAGACCAGAGGCAAAGAAGGCTACTTATAATTTATTATATATAACTTGTGTGGATAGGTATTAACTTGTGTGGATAGGTATTGGTAGCATTCCAACCTTTACTAGTACTATTGGTAATAATTCAAGGGAAACCTGTTATTGGCCATATTGTATGTTAAATTTATGTATGGTAAAATTGTATAAATACGCTGTTGGTTTTCTCAATAAAATAAAAATAAAATAAAAAATAAGATGGGTTTAATGAAATAGTGGGTGATGGTAAGCGTTCACCGTCTATTGCTATTCACAATGCAAGAAAAGTCGTCTTTGTGCTGCCGGTTTTTTTTTTATGAGTTCGCGGAATTTGGGTAGGTTTTCTTTAATAACTGCCCCAATATTGTATTTGGTAGGAAACGCCGATGAAAGTCCACAACATGGACGACATTTTTAATGAATCGTAGTAATCGTACCGTAGTGATCATCTGCTATCAAAATGATAACACTTTTTGCTAATGCCCAACTTATTTGAAAAGTGCATATTAGTTATTACTCTTATTCCTTGATATTTATTACGTGCGAAGTTTGTTCAAGCTAAATAATTCGAATCCTCGTTCCAATTTACAGAAGCTCCTGACCATCACCTACTCCGTAACCGTGGTCGCAATGATCACCCTTGCTACCACGCAGCTTCTCCGCTCCCAGGGTTGGATTCTACCCTCTTGGCTGCCAGTGATAGCCATAGCAGCTTCAGTCTGGGCATACGCTGCAGGTGTTACTCCGATGGTCTACGTAATCATGTCAGAGATGTTTAGCTTTCAGGTGAGTCATAGTCAAAAGTTATGAATTATTATCCAATCTAGCTTTGCATTTGCTACTTCAATTTTTGCTCCCATCTAATAAGCAGCGATGTGGACATGCGTCTCGAGTGATTGCTATAAACATTCCTTAAAAGGAACAACAATTTACTAACTGAAACCTCAGTTGCTCAAGTCTGCGAGTACTAAGCTATTTTTCTGGATATCCAAGAGCTTTTCCCCCATTGTTTGCCAACGCAAATTCAACT